ATAGATAGATAGATAGATAGATAGATAGATAGATTAGATAGATAGATAGATAGATAGATAGATAGATAGATAGATAGATAGATAGATTAGATAGATAGATAGATAGATAGATAGATAGATAGATAGATAGATAGATAGATAGATTAGATAGATTAGATAGATAGATAGATAGATAGATAGATTAGATAGATGATTGATAGATAGATAGATAGATAGATAGATAGATAGATAGATTAGATAGATAGATAGATAGATAGATAGATAGATAGATAGATAGATAGATAGATAGATAGATAGATAGATAGATAGATAGATAGATAGATAGATAGATAGATAGATAGATAGATAGATAGATAGATAGATAGCAATAGCACTTACATACTGCTCCAGAGTGGTTTACAGCCCTCTCTAAGCAGTTTACAGAGTCAGCTGTTCCCCCACCCCCAAACAATCTGGGTCCTCATTTTACCGACCTCGGAAGGATGGAAGGCTGAGTCAACTTTGAGCCGGTCACGATCAAACTCCTGGCAGTGGGAAGAGTCAGCCTGCAATGTTGCATTCTAAGCACTGCGCTCAACACGGTTTTAAAAATCTGAGTGCTCTGTGCTTCAAGATATTTTTCTGCTAAGTCACCTATGTTTCTTTCCGGAAGAGCAGGTAGCTTTTTAAAAAAAAAATAAAAAAAAAAATAGGTAGCTTTTTTTTAACAAACAATGAAAATGGTGTTATAGTAGTCCTCGACTTATGACCACAATTGAACCCAAAATTTCTGTGGCTAAGCGAGACGGCTGTGAAGTGAATTTTACCTCCATTTTACCACCTTTCTTGCCACAATTGTTAAGGGAATCCCAGTGGTCGTTCAGTTAGTGACACGGTCGCTAAGCGAATCTGGCGCTTCCCCATCGGCCTGGCTTGCCACAAGGTTGCCCAAAGGGACATTGCAACCGTCATAAACATGAGTCCGTTGCCAATTCTGGGAGTTGAAGTCCACAAGTCTTAAAAGTGGCCAAGTTTGAAGACCCCCGTATTAATATAACTTGAACCAACCTGGACTTGGTCCTGTCGGATTGGTGGTATTAAACCTCTTTGCTTTAAGACAGTGATGGCGAACCTTTTAGAGACCGAGTGCCCAAACAGCAACCCCAAACCCACTTATTTATTGCAAAGTGCCAGGGCCGCATCAGCACTGTGGTGACCTCAGGGGGGTGGGGGTGAGGGTGGCCCACTGGGTGGGCGTGGCTATGGTGGTCACAGCAGACTGAGTGGGCATGGCCGGGGTGGGTCTGGCCACCTTGATGTTGCTCATGGGGGGGGACGCCTGTGGGGGCTGGGCAGGCTTGGGGAAGATCCAGGGGGTCTCTGGTGGGTGGGGCAGTGGGCAGGAGGCTCGTCCTGCGGGGTGAGACGGGGTAGGGCAGGGGTGCCATCAGCCCCCACTCACAGAGGCCAGCGAGGGCATGGTCTACCACCTCTACTCAAGCTTGCTAGCCAGCTGCTTTGCCTCCTTTGTGCTGGGTGGGGCTGCCGCTCCGGGTGCCAGCGGTGGCCTAACCCAGGGCTTTTCAGCCAGTGGTACGGGTACCACCTGTGGTACATTGGCACCTGGCAGGTGGTACGCGACCATCCTAGAAAAGTGATAGCGGGGGAGGGGAATGAGCTGAACCGGTGGCAGCACCGCACACGCCTGAGCGAGAGACGGCTGGAGCTGCAGGACTCAGCGGAAGCACCAGGATCAGTGCCAGGCTCCAGCTGGAGCTCGGCGCTGATCCTGGCACTTCTGCGGAGCCCAGAAGAAGCGCCGGTCAGCTGGAATGTTGCAGCCTCTCCAGGGTCTTGTGATTTACATTCAGATGCTTGGCAACTGGTTCATATTTATGACGGTCACAGTGTCCCAGGGTCATGTGAAGTGACCAAAACCTGCTGCAACCACCCAGCAGACGGGGGGAATAAAAACCAAACATCCCCCCATCCCACCCGCTGCCAATCCTCAACAGAAATGCTCACAACAATGAAAACCTCAGACAGGAGGAAGAGCGCCGCCGGGTGGGCAGGCAGGTGTCTTGCTCGGCTGTGGCTTGGGGGCACTTTTTTCAGTGCCATTGTAACTTTGAACAGTCACTAAGCGAGCTGTTGTAAGTCGAGGACTACCTGTAACTTTATCACTTTTTTCCTTTTTTTGGGGGGGGTCATCAAGTTTTTGACCCCTTGCTAGGCGACTGGTGATACTCGGATGTTGCCATATCCTAAAAGTGGCACAATGGGTGAAAAGGTTGAAAAGCCCTGGCCTAATGGACCTGCGTGAGCTGGCGGCAGCGATGGCAGGTGTGCCCACAGAGAGGGCTCTGAGTGCCGCCTCTGGCACGTGTGCCTTAGGTTCGCTACCACTGCTTTAAGATCAGAATTGATCTTTGGGCAGCGGCAGACATTCCTGTCGCACGTCTCTCACGGATAACCCCGATCTCTTGGGACGATGCTTAACGATGTCGAGGGGACGATAAATAAATATTTCAATTTCTTCCCCCCCCCCCCCCGTCTTGGACGCTTTGCAGGTGGGTGCACGTCATCTGCGCCATCGCTGTCCCGGAAGCCCGTTTTGTCAACATCCTCGCGCGCCACCCTGTAGACATCACTGCCATCCTTGAGCAACGGTGGAAACTGGTAAGAGGCCCTTGAGCCCGTTCTCGAAGAAAGGTGGAAACTGGGAACTCCTTGGGGAAGGGAAATGGACCTTAACGGGTTAGTAGTCCCTGCAGGCCTTGGCTGGAAGCAATAGAAGCGAATATGGGTAGCTCAGGGTTGAAATGTGGGGTCCCTGGGGCTCTTGGGGGTGTTTCATTACCCAACTAGGTAACATCATCAGTGCTAGAAGGAGAGGGGTTTGTAGAATGGTGGTGGAGGAGGAGGAGAACTGTGGGGTCCCTGATGCTCTCTGAGCTTGTTTCTTCTCTTGCAAACATTTCGATACCCAACTAGGTAACATCATCAGTGCTAGAAGGAAAGAAGTTTGCAGAGTGGCGGTGGAGGAGGAGGAGGAGGAGGAGGACTGTGGGGTCCTTGGTACTTGTTTTCTTGCAGTTGTTTTACAATACAACTAGGTAACATCAATACTAGAAGGGGGTGAGGTTTATGTTGAGAGAAGGAGGACTGTGGGGTCCTTGGTGCTCTCTGAGCTGGGTTTTTTTCTTGCAGACGTTTCATGAACCAACTAGGTAACATCATCAGTGCTAAAAGGGAGGGGAGTTTGCAGAGTGGTGGTGGAGGAGGAAGAGGACAAGGAGGAGGACTGTGGGGCCTTTGGTGCTCTCTGAACTTGGTTCTTTTCTTGCAGACATTTCATTACCCAGCTAGGTAGCATCATCAGTGCTAGAAGGGAATGGCAATTGTGGACTGGAGGAGGAGGATAACTGTGGGGTCCTTGGTGCTCTTTGAGCTGGGTTGTTTTCTTGCAGACATTTCATTACCAAACTAGGTAACACCATCAGTGTTAGAAGGGAGAGGGGTTTGTGGAGGAAAAGAGGAGGAGGACTGTGGGGTCCTTGGTGCTCTCTGAAGTTGATTCTTTTCTTGCAGACGTTTCATTACCCAGCTAGGTAGCATCATCAGTGCTAGAAGGGAATGGCAATTGTGGACTGGAGGAGGAGGATAACTGTGGGGTCCTTGGTGCTCTCTGAGCTGGGTTGTTTTCTTGCAGACGTCTCATTACCCAGCTAGGTAACATCATCAGTGCTAAAAAGAAGTGAGGTTGGCTCTTACTTGTTTACGTACAAGCGGCTTGCCCAGACATGTTGGTGGGAGTGTTGTTTTCTCCTTGGTGAGTCCCTGTTGTTCACTGTTTGCTTGTGTGTCCGAGTTGGTAGTTTCTTGCCTGGAAAATTAGAGAGCCTCTAATACGCTTTGGGGACCTTCGCCCTTCCCTCTTGTCCAAGTGGGGTTTGGGACCCTGTTGCAGAGATAAAAAAAACACATTTATTATTATTCCCTGGAGCGACAGCAACGCTTTGATAACACAAGCGATAAATTGCACCCGAGCCGGCTCCTTTATGGATAACCTGACATTTCCAGCCCGCCATCCTCTTCATTACCCACGCTTCTAACAGCAAATTAAAAAAAAAAACTCTTTCTTTACATGGGGCTGGCTTGTACTGCTTAATGGGCCTCCCAAGAGAAATCCGTTAAGTCCTTGGGCAAACAGCTTTGCCGCTTGTACCCCTCGCGGTGTCTCCGCATTGCTGCTTGCGTGGCTTGGCGGGATCCGTAGAGGCCGGCATAAACTTGGGCTGGAGCAGAGATTGTCTCCTGAGTGGGCCACTGGCACTTTGGAGCTGCGGCTGTAGAGATGCAGGGAAGCCCTGCCTCGTGGGGGCGTTGTTTGATCTGAGGGCCAGGGGTCCACCCAGAGAAGACGAAGCGTGCAGTCCAAAGTTCTGATGTCGCTCAGTACCTGGCTCAGTAGTAACAACTGTGAGAGGGATCTCGGAGTCCTAGTGGACCATCCCTTAAATAGGAGCCAGCCGTGTGCTGCAGCTGCCAAAAAAGCCAACACAGTGCTAGGCTGCATTAACAGAGGGAGAGAATCAAGATCAGGTGAAGTGTTAATACCACTTTACAATGCCTTGGTGAGGCCACACTTGGAATGCGGCATCCAGTTTTGGTCCTCACGATGTAAAAGAGATGTTGAGACCCTAGAAAAAGTGCAGAGAAGAGCAACAAAGATGATTAGGGGACTGGAGGCTAAAATATGTAAAGAACGGCTGCTGGAATTGGGTACATCTAGTTTAATGAAGAGAAGGACGAGGGGGGACATGATAGCAGGTGTCTCGTCAACGTGTGGTCCTCAATGGAACCGCATCTACATGGAGGGAAGTGTGTAGTGGGGTGCCCCAGGGCTCTGTTCTGGGCCCAATGCACTTCAACATCTTCATCAACGATTTGGATGAGGGGATAGATGGGGAACTCATCAAATTTGGAGACGACACCAAGCTGGCAGGAATAGCCAACATTCCAGAAGACAGGCTTAAGATACAGGAGGACCTGGACAGACTTGAACACTGGGCGCTATCTAACCAAATGAAATTCAAGGGTGAAAAAAGTAAGGTTCTACATTTAGGCAAAAAAAACCAAATGAACAGGTATAGTATAGGGGGTACTTTGCTCAATAGTAGCAACTGTGAGAGGGATCTCGGAGTCCTAGTGGACAATCACCTAAATAGGAGCCAGCCATGTGCTGCAGCTGCCAAAAAAGCCAACACAGTCCTAGGCTGCATTAACAGAGGGAGAGAATCAAGATCACATGAAGTGTTAATACTGGTACCACTTTATAAAGCTTTAGTTAAATAACTAATTGAATATATAAAAAAAAATGTTCCTTTTTTCTTTGGCTGTGACATGCCAGTGGAGTCAAATAAGGCATTTTTTGAATTTTTCACCCCAAGCCCCAAAGGTTGGAGTGAGCAGCTGTTCTCTAATCTATGCATTCCTTGGTGGGGGGAAAAGGGAGTGAAACCCCAACAGTTGGCTGGTAGAACACAAGAATCGTCTTTTTTAAAGAAAAAAGAAAAAAATACTTTTCATACAGCTTGCCCTGCCGGGGTTGGTGGGAGAGGGCTTGATAAGGCTGTTGGCCACCGGTATATAAACAGAGAACCAACCCCACTCCTTTGTAGCCCTGATGGTATTACCTAGTTGGGTCATGAAACTTTTTTGGAGATGTTTCATTATCCAGCTAGGTAACATCATCAGTACTAGAAGGGAAAGGGGTTTGTGGGGAGGAGGGGAAAGAGGAGGAGGAGGCTTATTTTGGGATCCTTGGCGCTCTCTGAGCTTGGTGGTTTCCTTGCAGACGTTTCATGACCCAACTAGGTAATACCATCAGGGCTACAAGGGAGTGGGGTTGATTCTCTGTTTATATACCGGTGGCCAACAGCCTTATCAAGCCCTCTCCCACCAACCTCGGCAGGGCAAGCCATCTGCAAACCACCAAGCTCAGAGAGCGCCAAGGATCCCAAAATAAGCCTCCTCCTCCTCCTCTTTCCCCTCCTCCCCACAAACCCCTTTCCCTTCTAGCACTGCTGATGTTACCTAGCTGGATAATGAAACATCTCCAAGAAAGCAACCAAGCTCAGAGAGCGCCACGGACCCCACAGTTGTCGTCGTCATTGTCCTCCTCCTCTTCCTCCTCCTCCTCCTCTTTCCCCTCCTCCCCACAAACCCCTTTCTCTTCTAGTACTGATGATGTTACCTAGCTGGATAATGAAACATTTCCAAGAAAGCAACCAAGCTCAGAGTGCCACAGACCCCACAGTTGTCCTCCTCCTCCTCCTTCTCCTCTTCCCCCCCACCCCACAAACCCCTTTCCCTTCTAGTACTGATGATGTTACCTAGCTGGATAATGAAACATCTCCAAGAAAGCAACCAAGCTCAGAGAGCGCCACGGACCCCACAGTTGTCGTTGTCCTTCTCCTCCTCTTTCTCCTCCTCTTTCTCCTCCTCTTTCTCCTCCTTCTCCTCCTTCTCCTCCTCCTCCTCCTCCTCCTCCTCCACTCTACAAACCCCACATTCCCTTCTAGCACTGACGATGTTACCTATTTGGATAGTGAAACGTCTGCAAGAAGACAACCAACCTCAGACAGCACCCAGGACCCCACAAGTCAATCCTCAGCTACAGATTTTCTCTTCCGTTGGTGCCTGCTTCGTCTTTCCGTTTCTGAGCTCTGCTCTAGAAAACCTGAGCTTCCCTTCGAAAACCCAAAACAGGCGTTCAGGTCCTCCTCTTCTACAATTCCTTTGGTTTTCCTTCTCCTCGGGGTGTCGCCATCCCCTCATTTTAGACCAGAAGGTCAGCTTAGGATGCCTTGTCGAAGGAGGGAGAGTTCTTGGTCGAGGGAGGGGGCTGCAGGCTGAAATCAGGACAGAGCGAAGGGGAACTCGGCTAAGTGGGGTGCAAAATCCGAAGTGGAGGAAATAGACCAGGTTTAAATTAGTCTCTTGGCAGGCAGGTGGAGTAAACAAGCATTCTGCAGCAGACAAACTGTGGTGCAGTGACCTGATTAGAAAATGAAACACAAAACAGCCTTCCCCCCCCCCCCCCGGTTCTTCTCGAACAACATCTTCTGTGGTCAAGAAGAGCAATAAAACTGATTAGGGGCCTAGAACATACGAAGAACGGTTGTGGGAATTGGGTTTGGCTCATTTAACGAAAAGAAGGACTTACCATTGAGGTCGTAAGTCAAGGACTTACCTTTAACGTGATCGACAGCGTCCCTTAGACCTGGACTGCCATCTGTCAGAAACGGTGTAGGGCCTCCTGCTCGGGTGTGGGGCTGGACTAGGTCAGGGCTTTTCAACCTTTTCACCCATTGTACCACTTTTAGGATATGGCAACATCCGAGTACCACCAGTTGCCTAGCAAGGTGTCAAAAACTTGATGACCAAAAAAAAAAAAAGGCAAAAAGTGATAAAGTACAGGTAGTCCTCGACTTACAACAGTTCGCTTAGTGACTGTTCGAAGTTACAATGGCACTGAAAAAAGTGCCCCCTAAGCCACAGCCGAGCAAGACACCTGCCTGCCCGCCCGGCCGCACTCTTCCTCCTGTCCGAGGTTTTCATTGTTGTGAGCATTTCTGTTGAGGATTGGCAGCGGGGGTGGGGTGGGGGGGTGT